ATTTGCAATCAGACTCGTTCTTATTCACACTTTTCATGCATGTAAACAGCAGCACAGCAAACTGGCGACATGCGCCCACTCAAAACTCAGAGATATGACTCCCAGATACGAGTTCACTTTCAATTGGCTATGGCGACTCAGCGCCCAAACAACTCACTGCTCACACACACCGGATCACCCTGGATATCCCACACGCGTAACTCTGAACAATCGCACATACACACACACACTTCACACTAACTACAGCTATGGCAGCTATGGCTGCCCCTACCCTAATATCGCTATACTAAGCTCCTACTCTCTCGCCCACTGCGTCCTCCGGGCTCACTGCAGACCTCCTCGCACAAGTCGCTGTGACAGCGCTTCCGCATGGCTCACGCAGGAATGAATGAATGGCTGGGCTCTGCCTCTTGATTTATACTTCTGAAACTCGGTGGTCTGCCCCTTTCCATCGGCCCATGGTGCTCACAGTCCCCCATGGTACTTGCTGGACCAGGCTGGGACTGACTGGACCTTACCGCTGACTGACTGTGGACTCACTGCTAACCTACCGTAGTCGTACTGCGATTGCACCGCAGTTTAGTCCACCACTTGACTCACCACTTGCCCACTTGCCCACTTGCTGACCTTCTAGAAGGACTACAGCCAGGCTTCTGGAACTTGCTAAGACTCCTACTCTATAGATCCACAGATCGAACCCCTGCTTCCTATGGGACCCTACGACAGACTACAAACTGTTACAAATACACAGGTCGTGGGTTCAAGCCTTGGGGCCGACACAGATACTGTACATCGGTAGGGTGAGGACTAGGGATCGAACCCTGGGGTCTACATCTGCTACTGCAAAAGGTGAAAACCGTTTCACTCCCGCCGTCCTAAATTCGAGGTCCTCCGATAATATTTGAGTCCAAGGCAGGACCTTTACCTTTCTTATCGCGCTCGTAGGCTCTGACTATGTCGGGAGCTGTCTCTAGAAGTTCTGTTCCTGTAAACCAGCGGTCGTCTTCTGGCTCCTGATAAGCAAACCGGACCTTAGACTGTTTCTGGGGACGACCTCTACCTCCTGTTCTAAACACATCCTCATCTACAATGCCGTCAATGTCATAACTTCCATCCATATCCGGAGGGATCATGGATCTTCTTGAAGGGAACTGTTGACTTGTGACACACGGCAACAGCTTTGAAGCATGGAACACAGGGTATGTGTGGAGGTGTGCTGGGATCTCTATAGTGTAGGACGGTCCATCCTCTCCGCCCTTGACTTCTAGAACCGGCCACGGTCCTCGGTATGCAGGCAGCAACTTCTGTGAGATGTGCTCCTCAGGTGCGAACTCTTTAGATTTGACCCAGACTAAGTCGCCTACCTGAAACTGCGATGGGCGACGGTGCTTATTGGCCTGTTCTATCATTCTGTGATGGGCCTTTCTGAGGTTCTCAACAACAGTTGCTAGTTCTTTCTCGTACTGTACTGCGAACTCCCTGGTACCAGGCGGTAGCCTGTGAATCTGATCCCGGTTCAGTCCTTCGAATGGTCTGCGCGGCCTAAAGGACTTGTGCCGCTCATTGGGAGTGCGACAGGTGGACAGATGTACGTTGTTGTTGTACGCACTAGCTACCTTGGGTAACATCTCATCCCAGTCAATCCGATCGGGTCTAATGTACATGCGCAGAACTTGCTATAGGATCTTGTTCATCTGTTCAGTCTGATCGTTTGTCTCTGGATGGTGGCCAGACGACATCAACAGCTCAGATTTGTAGACTCTCATGAGTTCTTGCCAGTTTTGGCTGGTGAAACGACTATCTCTATCGCTAACTATCGACAACGAGATTCCATTCTCACTAACCCAAAAATCAAAGAACTTCCATATAACTAAGTCTGTACGTGCCTCTGCAGGCAAGGGAACAAAAACTGCATACTTACTAAATCGGTCAACTATGACCATGACTTGGCTCTTACTATGTCTGCTCTTGACTTGGGTGTCCATGAAGTCTATGGACAATGAGTCTCCCGACTGATCAGGAATAGGCAAGGGTCTAAGAAGACCTTGGCTAAAGTCTTTTGCCAACCGAAATGTCCCTCAGTATCGTGGCATTCCCCTAGGATCAAACTACGAATCTCTTCGTTGTTGGGAATGCACAAGCGGTCAAATACGTTAGTCTTCTCAGACAGCAACTCGTCTGTAGTGCGGTAATCTGGCTCAGTCTTTGGGGCCTCTCTAACTCTCTTTAGGAGTCGCTATAGATAGGGTCATGTGCATACGCTTGCTTCACTTTCTCCTACAGGTCTCTCCCTATATCCAGATAGTGTACTATAGCTCCAAAGTAGTCTGATCTTCTACTTAGAGCATCCGCAACTACGTTGTACTTGCCCTTCACTGGCTTAAGCTCAAAGTTATATTGGTCTATCTCTGCGGCCCACCTAGTCAACTTAGGTGTCATCTTGGCCTGAGTCTTTAACCATCTAAGTGTTTCATGGTCAAAATACACTTTGAAGTGTCTCCCAAGCAGATAGTGTTTCCAATGCTCTAAAGCCTGCCTGAGAGCGTAGAGTTCTCTCTCGTACGTCGAGAGAGCAACCTTCTCTGAGGCCATCCTCGCTGACATGAACTCTACGGGTCTGTAGCCATCGTCGTCGTCTTGCTGTAACACGGCGCCTATCCCATACTGACTTGCGTTCGTGATGACGAGAAATGGCAAAGACGGATCGGCTACTTTGAGGACAGGGTACTCTATCAGTGCGCGCTTCAATCTCTTTAGCGCAGACGTACAATCTTTGTCCCATTGCCAGATTGCCTATTTCTTAAGTAACCTGCGCAGGGGAGCGGCGATAGTAGAAAAGTTCCTTACGAACTTTCTATAGTAGTTAGCTAAGCCTAGGAACGACCGCAACTCTATCAATGTGCAGGGCGTCGGCCAGTCTCTAATTGTCGCTATCTTGCTGTCCTCTGGCTTAATGCCATCTCCGTCTAATATGTGGCCCAAGTACAGGACTTGTGTCTTGGCCCACTCGCACTTCTTCGCGTTGATCTTGAAGTTTGACTCTCTCAATTTCTCCAAGACCTGCCTCAGATGACCCTGGTGCTTCTGGAGGGTCTTACTAAAAACTAGGATATCATCTAGATAAACTACTACAAACTTATCTAACCATGGTCTGAACAAATCATTCATACAACGCTGAAAAGTGGCTGGCGCGTTGGTTAGTCCAAAGGGCATCACTATAAATTCATAGTGCCCATACCGAGTCCGGAACGCAGTCTTGTACTGATCATCAGGATGGACTTCTATCTGATGGTATCCGGACTTCAAGTCTATCTTAGAGAAGTACTTGCAACCCTGCACCCGATCTAGGAGGTCGTCTATCCTGGGCAGCGGCTCAACATTCTTCACAGTAATCGCATTTAAACCCCTATAGTCTATACACATACGAAATTCTCCTTCCTTCTTGGGGACAAACAAAACTGGTGCTCCAAAAGGAGACGGACTGGGCCTGATCCAACCTTTCTCGAGGAGTTCGTCTAACTGCTTGCGCAACTCCTCTAACTCTCTAGGGGACATCCTGTAGACTGCACCCTTAGGGGTTCTACTCCTGTCGGCGACTCAGTCAAATCTTTGAACTCTTCCAGCAGCTTGGCAATCATTGGATTTGTGGAACTATCCTTTTCCTTGGCCTCAGTGACAGGTCTAACATAAACTACAAAGACCTAGTCCTCTAACTGCTCCTTTTTCACTAGTCGCACGAACGCGGGAGCACTGAGACAGCAATGTGCCAAGGTGTTGTCTACACCTGACATATGAAACAGGCGGGCAGTCTTAACCTCGCCTGACGGGCTAGGGAGCCTACACTCATGCTCTCTCAAATGGAGTGTGGCCCCTGCTGCCTCTCCCCAATCCATTCCCAACACTACGTCGAAAGGAAGGTCATCCTGTACGAGGAGAGTCAGGGAATGGAGAACTTTCTCCACCTTCCCATCCTTCTCTAGGCGAAAGTACGCCTGGACTCCCTCTACATAGTCCTCAACACGCATTGTGCGGTCGTCTACGAGGACAATGACTATGGGGTCTGCCAATTTCCGGACTTTTAATCCTAGCCTCAACTTTTTCAGCGCTCTACGGCTAATATAACTGCGGGTGGCCCCTGAGTCTATAAGGGCCCCTACTCTACTCCTGAAAACTTCTACATCTACCAAGATCAGTTGTCCTTTGCTCTCTTTCTTCATCTTGGCCCAGGCTKRCATCCTCTCCTTTAACTCTTCTGCCACASCTGTGAGGGACGTGCCTAAAGAGACGCTAACACAGGCGGTCTCTGGACAGCYAGCTAGGCACGGGCCTGCAACCTCTGCCATAGGCTCATGTGGGTTGGGAGTGTCCTATTCGCGCGCGCTCACTTCTCCACATGGCCTTAAAGTAGGGGCAGTTGCAACCCCTACTGGCGGCTGCCTTTTGACTGGTGGGCAGCCCAACGGGCCTGTCTATACTTTGGACAAAATTTAATTACGTGGGTCGGGTCACCACAAAACATGCACTGACCCAAGTTCACGCGTTCCTGCCATACGCCCTGGTCCAAGCCCAAATCTTCCCAGGGCCTGCCGTGTAGCAAGCCTGGGTGCCATCCTCCTTGAGGTGCCCTTCCACCTCGTCGTTGTAGGGACCGATTAAAACCTTGGCGATTTGGCGGGGGACCTTGACCCCTACCTCCCACTTGGCGGTTTCCCTGTCCGCCAACCCCCTGTGCGCCGGTCCTCGGCCTCCCATGGTCTGGCCCCTTTGGCCCTGGCCTCCTCCTCTAACTGGCGGCCTCCCTCCAGCCGCGACAGCAGCATAAGACCTCCCCTGTCCCACACTACTGTCCTCTTCCTCTAGGCCTCACTCAATCTGACTATATGGGACCTCATCAGTACCACCTTCCTCTAAAGTAAGGATCATGTGATCCTTGGCCCTCACCTGGCCTGAGATGGTACAACCTTTCCACCTTTTTCCCTTGTCCAAATCCTTATGCCAGAAGGTGGTAACTGGCATGGACTTCGACTCATACAGGACCACTTCTCTACTCAATGCATCATAGGTGATGCCGGCCTGTTGAGACTAGTCAAAGAAATGCCCACGTAGGGCCTCTGGCATGGCACGATAAAATAATTGGACCAACTGGGTCTCAGTGACCCCATGGTCTGGGACGGCTACCAAGTCGTCCATGGTACCTTTGAGTGCTCTTGCACTCCTCCACTGTCGCGCGTGGATCGTTTGTAGCTTGTCAGAGGCGTGAATGCCTCTTGTTGGGTCTGCAAATCGCTCCTTCAGAAGCTTAAAGAATTGAGGAAGGGGGGTGACTCTTGAATATGCAACCAGGTTGTTTTCACAACCGGCTGCGCGCGCAAGGGATCTGGCAAAACTAGCCGCCTCATCCTTAAGGGCCTGGAAGGCCACGAGGACTTGTTCCTCTGACAGGATGTGCTGTAAATATATGTAACTATTGGCACTGGCCTCCCAATTGTCAAAGTTCTCCTCCTTCTTCCCCCCGTATGCGTCTGGGAACTTGAGCTTTACAGGCTCTTTACGGGGTCTGACCTCGCCCTCTACAGCGGCTATTGCTTTGGCACCTTCAATGGCGCCTTCGCAAAACTTCCCCACGTTGTCCCTCAGTTGCTTGACTTCGCCCCCAATGTGGGTGACTATATCGCGCGCAAAGTCTCTAAATCCCAATCGCATGGCACTCAAAGCTACCTCCTCGCTCCAACTAGCTTGGCGCTCCTCGATCCATGCTGTGCTCGGCACCTCTAGGTAGCCCAAGACCTTATCCCATTTGGCCTTGTCGTCTGCCTGCGCCTCCACTTCTTTCCTACACTCCTGCACCTTCGCCACCGCTGCGGTCAATTTGTTGACTTCCTCTCTCCTCCTCTTCTTTTCCTTCTTCATCCTCAATTTCCACGCCAACTTTTGCTCCTCCTCCCTTTCTTGCCGTTCCATAGGGTCCTTCATTGTTGCTAGCTCACTGGCTAGCGCATCCCTCTCATCCTGAGTCACATAAGACTTCGCCTCCTCGTCTTCTCCCAACGATAAATTAGCGACCCACTCACTTATCTTCTTCTCCATCTCAGCATTTGTATCCCTCTTCATCGTGCCACAACTCCCTTCTCCACTCTTAATCCTCATTCTCTTTTTTCTTCTTCTGCTGCTACTTCTGCTTCAACAGCCTTTCTTCTTTTTTCCTCCTCCTGTTGAACCCTCTTCATCTCCTCCTCCAACCTCTTCATCTTAGCCGCCTGCTCCTCCGCGATAGCCTTTAGCTTCGCCTGCTTCTCGAGCTCCTTCCTCACCTTGTTTTTTTTCACTAGGGCGGCTATCTTTTCTTGCTGCTCCTTGGTGTAGGGGCTAGTGTCTTTCCCACTACGGGTCTCAACCATAGTGATCAGTACCCAACCAGATCAATCGGTTCCAAACCTCACCACGTAGACTCTAACCCCTGATTGACAAACCTATTGACTCAATCTAAGGACTCGCAAAATCCTGACAAGGATCCTGCCAACTATGGTCTCTAGCCTAGACCTAACTATGCTTCACCACCCACCAAACCCGCACCAGGCTGCTAAGAAGTGTGCATGAATGTTTTGATTTTCATATATACTAAGGAATATACGTTTTTTTTTTTTT